TATATATATATATATATATATATATATATATATATATATATATATATATATATATATATTATAATTTTTTTTAATTAATATATAATATATATATATATATATATATATATATATATATATATATATATATATATATATATATAAAACTATTTAAAAACAACATTTTAAAAATGGACTAAAAAATAAAAAATATAAAAAAAAACTTTTTAAAAACTTTATTTTTAAAATGGACTAAAAAGTAAAAAATAAACTATTAAAGCCAATGACTGAAAATGTTGGGCAACTAAGTACAACTCATTCCTAGTGGCGGCCAAAATTTTCACATATTGGCTTTAATGATATTTCAGGTTGTGTACATACACAAAGTCTTTGGGTCACATAAAATAGTTTAATTTTTGCTTTTTAATCCACTTTTCAGCTTTTTTTTATATATTTTTTTTTATTATAAGTATTTTGTGGTTATATTTTTTAATCTGTTGTTTTTTTTAGAGTTTGTGAATTCAATGAGCAATTAGTAAAAGAATGTCTAGAACAGTTTTTTGTAGGACACTCAAGCAAAATGAACTTTTACAATTTGAAAAAACAGTTAGCGTTTAGCAATGTCCAAAAGAAAGACGGAAGAATACCAGAAAAGATTTTTTTTTCACTGAAAGAATTAATTGCAAATAAAAAGTTTCTAGATTGTTTTTGTATATCTAATCAGTCAGCCCCACTCCTCAAACTTCTTGTGCTTCACTTTCAACAAACTGATTCTTTTTTGGATTTTTTAAAAACTTTAGTCTTGTGTTCAGCTCACAAAAGTAAATCAATGGATATTGTACTTAATAGTTTATGTAAGAGATTCAGGATAATAGAAGAGCAGAAAACTTCTCCAAAAATTACAAAAACATTAGGAGATTTTATTAGGTCAGGGAATAAGGCAACATTGCATTGTTTGCAATTTGTTATAAATGAAATAAGGCGAATTGAAGACATCACAGAAGTATCAAGAGATCAGTGGGTTTCAGGTTAAAGCAATTATTTAAACCATTAAAAGTATATTTTTTAATTATTTAAAATTTTTAATTTGAAGTTGATTTTTTATAATTATTTAAGTTGGAAAATTAATTTCAAGTTCTTTTGAATCAATGTTTGAGAGGTTCATGCAAGTCTTATGTGCTGGTGCAATTAACGTTCAAGCTAGAAGATTATGCATTGATATTCTTAGTAAGTAAGATTACTAAGTTTGTTCAAACCTTAAAAAGTTGTTTGCAATGTTTCAGTGTTCAAATATTCTTTGTTTAAATTTTTCTATTTTTTAGTTGAGTTAATAAATGTGGTGGATCATAAATTTATTGGGATACTTGTGACATTTTTTCATATGCTTGATCCAGAGATAGTTTGTCTAATTCCATTAATGCAGCGGCAGCTTATATTCAAGCATCAAACAGGAACAGCAGGCTGTTCTTTCAAAGCTAAATCATACTTAATATCTCTATTGACACATCAGGCTCAAAATGCAACTTTAGATGACTGCTTTAAATGGATACTTGATGTGACATCAGATGTCAAAGAGTTATTAAATATTCTTTTTTTTTTTAAATGATTTATTTAGAAGAATATATATATATATATATATATATATATATATATATATATATATATATATATATATATATATATATATATATATACATACACACACGCACGCACACAGAATTATATAGACAGTATAAAAATATATAAAGAAAGTGTATGAATAAAGATGTTTAAAAATATAAGTGTATAAATATAGTTGATACTCTTGGTTTTTATAACAGTTAGTAATGGTTTTAGTCAAAAATAAAATTTTTGAAATTAAATTTTCAACATATTTATTGAATATTTTGGTTATTTTAAAGGTTAAACCCGAAGCATTGCTTAAATGTAGTCGAGCTGATGATTCAAAATCCAAGGTTATGGTACAGAGGAGAGGGTAAAGAAGCTAAGGAACTTTCTGGAAGGCTAAATGTAATTAATTTTTAAAAGTAAAAGATTTCAATTACTTTAAGATACATGTTTGACCCAAGGCAACACAGGGTTTATAGTGTATGTAAAAAAATAAGATTATATTAAGTAGAAAAAAAATTTAATTTTCTCATGAAACTTCTCTTCAAAGAAAAATTTGTATCATATATTGAAATATTTTCCAAAATTTTGAACTTGTTAAAATACTATTTTATCAAAATTTCAAAAAAAAAAAAAACAAATATATAGAGCATAGTATTACTCAAATCTTATAGAATTAACTTGTTAGAATATACACCTCCTCTTGATAATATGGGACATGGTTGTCACTAGGTTGAAAGGATTGTACCCGATTGACTGGATTTGACCAAATAAAATGATTATGGATTTTTTTTATATTCCATATGTCATTTTTTACTTAATGCTATTTTTTAATTTTATGTAAAAACAAAATGTATTAAAACATACAGGATTGGAAAGTAGTATATTTTATGAAACATAATATATTGAAACATACAGGATTGGAATGTAGTATATTTTATGAAACATAATGTATTGAAACATCCAGGATTGGAACGTAGTATATTTTATGAAACATAATGTATTGAAACATACAGAATTGGAACGTAGTATATTTTATGAAACATAATGCATTGAAATATAATACCGAATTGGAACAGTATTTTTTTTTTTTTTAATGTTTAAATTTATTTTCTAATTTTATGCATAATTAAATTTAAAAAAAAGTTTATAATGTGTAATAGAATATTGTATCTGGCTAGAATATAATATCCCCCAAAAGAACATTGAAAACCCAGACACAATTTAAAGTTATTGCATTTAGAAGAGCACCTAGGCCTACCGAAATATTTTTTGGACATATTAATGTTTAAGGATAGTAAAAGTAAGATATATATATAGATCGAATTTATGCATAAAATGTTATTTAAAGTAAAAAATTAATATTATATCCTATATTTTACAAAGTTTTATAACGAATAAAATGCAAGGGGGATATGGTATTATAAGTGATAAATAGTCATATATCCTGTATTTCCTAAGTTTTATGTCAAATACAATTATTTATACGATTAAAAGTAGATTTGATACTTTTACCTATATTTTACAAAATTCATAACAACTATGCTTTACTTAAAAGAAAAATTATAGGTTTTTTAATACATGGCAAATAGATAAAGTACTTTAAATTGAAGTTTATCAGTTTTCAAAATTTATATCCTATCCAACTCCTTAATATTATATAGTGTTTTTTTATCATATCTCAAAACCACCCTATTTGAAGAAATACTGCTGCTTTGCTCTAATAAGATGTCAAGCAGTGCAACTAAGTTTTCTAACTATTTTTATCAAATTAAGATGTATTAAGAAGTATTTACTATCTTATGTGCAATCATGTTCTTATGTGCAAAATCTAATTAATCTATTCTTTACAGGAATCAGGAATATTTCCAAAGTTTCCTTAATCAAGAGTACATTCACCATTGTTATATTAAGTGTACATTCATCATTTTTATATCAAGTGTGCATTCACCATTGTTATATTAAGTTTACATTCACCATTGTTATATTAAGTTTACATTCACCATTGTTATATCAAGTGTACATTTACCATTGTTATATCAAGTGTACATTCACCATTGCTATATCAAGTATACATTCACCATTGCACTACAAGCTTTTCTATATGTGCATGAAAAATTATATAAAAACTATTCTAAGAAATACAGATGTATTAAAACAGATGTATTAAAACAGATGTATTAAAGAAACAGATGAATTAAAAACAGATGTATTAAAGATCAAATAATTTAAAATCAAAAGTTATAGTCAAAAATGTCCAAGTTTAAAGTTTCTCAAACCCTTATCTATGGTTTTCATATTTTTCAGGGTTGTTATCAATAATAGCTATATTTAGAATTTTTCTAAGTTCTTAGATATATTTTCAGGTTCTTTTACTTCTTCAAAAAACACAAACAACAATTTTTAGGAATTTTCTTCAACTATCTAAAGAAATATTTAAAAAACTCATTGTTTTGTACCTCTTTCTCTAATAGTATGCAAGATCAAAATATCAAAACCAAGGGATTTTTTATATATTCTAAATCTCTTGTGATAACTTCACATAGAAATAAATTTAACTAATCATTCTAACTATACTATATCAGTTGTTATCTGTGTGTGTTTATATATAGTAGAACCTCTTTAACTCATACCCTAGAAAAGTCAAATTCTCCTGAAACTTTATCAACTTACTATAAAATCATCTGCTTTAGTTAAACCCTGGTTAAGTAGTAAATTAAACAGATTCTATCTGTTGACCAGCCTCGTACCCCTTCTTCATCTATTAGACTGGCGCAGATGTATTTTTAATACAATGTTTCCAGTAAGATTTAGCATGTTGAATGCTGGATCTTCTTGACTAAATGCATAGGTTTTGCTTGTGTCTTTTTATGACTAGGCAACTCATTCTATTATCTCCTAATGGTACAGCTCTAAAACTCAGTTTTATGATTCTGAGGCCAGCTGGTAGTCATGTTTTCTGTGGTAGCTCTCATAGAGGCTGATTCCATCAACAGCTAAAAAATATCAAAGTATTAACAATGCGATGTTGCACATGGATGGTGTCCCTGTTTGTACTTTTGGTGTGCATTGTCAAGGCCACATTTGAAACCTTGTGTTACGGTTTAGGTTTTATTAATAGTAATTAGGCAATTTCTTGGGCTATTAAACAGAGTACTGAGAATGCTTTGAGTCAAGTTTATTAATAAGTTTAAAAATAAATAAAGTACCAAAAACTGTAAAACACAAAAAATACTCTTGCAAAGTTCTCCTTTATCTCAAGACTGCACTCTGATGTTATTTCTGATCAAATTGACCGCGCCCTCTCTCTTTATCCATCAGCCAATATTGTTGTTGTAGGTGACTTTAATCCTCATCACACTGAATGGCTTGGCTCTAGTGTCAGTGACTCTGCAGGCGTTAAAGTCCACAACTTTTGCCTTAATCAATCCCTAACTCAAATAGCCAACTTTCCAACTGGCTTTTTAGACAACCTGAATCACTGAAAACCCTTCTCTACTCGACTTATGTCTTGTTTCTGATCCTAGTCAATGCTCAGTCTCTCCACATTTACCCTTAGGTGCTTCTGTTCACTTTTTGATCTCTCTATTATCTCATTCTTCTTCATCATCTGAATCCCCCTATCATCGTACCTTTTACAACTAACTTAAAGCTTGGTATCACTCCAGCATCTGTATTTATAGTCATTTCTTGCTTAGACTTTTCTATAGCTTGTAGTCCAGACAACATACCTGTTGAAGTCTTGCATAAGTGTCCGCCGGAGCTGTCATCTATATTTTTTATAACTATTTAATAAGTGGACATCAGAGTCTTGTTTTCCAGCCTGCCGGAAAGCAGCACCTGTTATTCCTATTTTCCAAAATTCTAGAGAGCAATCTGATTTGTCTAATTACCGTCGCATTAGTCTTCTTCCTATCATAAGCAAAGTTTTTGTATCTTTAATTAACAAACACTTAATCTCTCATCTTGAATCTAATAACTTACTTTTTGAGCTGTAGAACGAGATGATTGAAATCAATATTCGTTTCGATCTTCTTGTTCTACAGCTGAACTGCTAACTGCTCTTAACATATCTAAAGCTTTTGATAAAGTTTAGCATGCTGGTCTTTTCCATAAGTTTTTTTATTACAGTGTATCTGGTAACATCTTAAAGGTTATTGTATTCTTTCTTTCCAATCATAGTGTAAAAGTTGCCCTCAAAGAACAGCACTCTTCTTCATATCCTGTAACTTCAGTGGTTCCTCAAGGTTCAATCCTTGGCTCTATGCTCTTTTCAACTTATATTAACGATCTTCCAGATATTCTCACATCTAAGGTGGTATTGTTCACTGATGATACTACCATTTATTCTTGTCATGATAAGAAGTCAACACTCTCTGATTTCTTAAAGAGGGCATTTGAGCTTGAAAAGGATCTCACTTCTGCTACAGCATAGGGCTCACAGTGGCTGGAGAACTTTAATTCAAATAAAACTAAATTTTTTTTCAGCCAATCGTTATCACAATAATATTGATTTTCCTATATTTATGAACAGTAAAGTACTCAATGAGTCATATACCCTTCATCTTCTAGGATTATCTCTTACTTCCAATCTTTCTTGTAAACCATATATCAAATCTGTTGCATCTGCTAAGGTTGCATCTGTTTATTAAGCTTGACACTTTCTTACTTGGGATTCTATTCTTTATCAATGGAATATCGTTGATATATCTGGGACGGATCTTCTAATGATGCCCTTTCTTTTTTAGACAAGGTGCAAAAACGCTTTGTAAACATAGTTGGACCTGCTCTTGCAGTTAACCTCCAACCATTATCACATCGTTGTAATGTTGCTTCTCTTTCTCTTTTCTACAAATACTATAATGGGCACTGCTTTAAAGAGCTAGCGTCTCTTTTGCCATCTACTAAAATTAATTTACATTTTACTTGTCATTCAATTATCCTTTTAATTAATCCTTTTTCTGTGACTGTTTCTAAATGCTCCAAAAACTCTAATTCCTCTATTTGTTTCCTTGAACATAACTTCTTTGGAATTCACTACCTTCATCTTGCTTTTCTGAGTCATATGATTTGCAGTCTTTTAATTCGTCTGTCGATCGTTATCTTGCTCTGTAATCTTCATCTTTTCTCTTCCAGTTACTTCCAACTCTAATTAGTGGTTGCTTGCAGCCTTCTTGGAAACAAAAATGTAGAAAAAAATGTTGGGCCATTTGCTAATTAGTACTGCTTTTTGGGGTCTCTTAACTAAAAAATTTTGCTTAACTAGGACTTTATTTTAAATTGCATAGTGCATATAGTAACAAAACTTACAATACTTAATACAATACAAATTCCGCACTTTAAATGCTCGAAAATAAAAATGTTTGCATCAAATATTAAACATAACTAAACATTTTCATTTATATCTTCAATGAGGTTAAGTTTCCATTAAATTCTATTTATTAATGACATATATAATGTATATTAAAAATTCAAAAATATTAATTAAAGTTCAAAACTTAATATGTTCAAAAATTAAATACTTTAGGGTCAAATATAATTAACTAAACATTTTAAGTGATATCTGCAATTCAGTTAATCTTTGATTAAATTTTATTTATCAAAAATGCCAAAGGTTGCTAAAAGAAATCTGAAAAGTAAAACTATAACAAAAAAAAATATTAAAAAAACTTGACAAAGGAGAATCATCTGTATTTGTATCAAAGAAATATGGAATCGGAAAGTAAACATTGTCTGTATGGTCAAACAAAAAAACAATATATCGTAATGAAATTCTGATATATATAATATAATCTTGATAAGTAGGACATTTTCAAAAAATATGACATAATGAGAGCTCGTTTAATTCAGACATTCGCTAAGTTGGACAATATTTATATATATATATCCCTTAACCCTCAGAATTAACCATTGGATTCCCTCAACCCTCGGAATTAATCATTGGAATCCCTCAACCCTCAGAATTAGAAAAAATGAGATCAGCAATAAGTTGCCGATCTCAAACTGTTAAAGGGTGGCTAAAAAACTTGATACAAATGGGGTTACCATAACACATAGAAACAAGGTCAGCGAGTTTCGAACAATTTGAGGTGACCTCAAACACTTTAAGGTTGGAATTGACCCTTATTCAGAGGGCTGACCTATTAGAATCGGAGTTAACAGTATTTTACTGTACATGTATATATATATATGTGTATATATATATATATATATATATATATATATATATATATATATATATATATATATATATATACATATATATATATGTATATATATAACAGTATTCTACTGTGCATGTATGTGTATATATATATATATATATATATATATATATATATATATATATATATATATATATATATATATATATATATATATATATATATATATATGTATATATATATATATATATATATATATATATATATATATATATATATATATATATACAGTTTAATAAATAGGAATCTGCTGATCACTTGAATTTGAATCTTTCATTGCAACAAATTTATCAATTCATTCAATTTATTCTTTATGAAGCAAATCAGTTAGAAGAAGAAAAAGGTAATATACATTATACTATAGTTAGTAATTCATAAAACAAAAATAATTATTTGTTGTTATTAACTTGTTAACAAAAGTTTTTAAATATAGTTGTGAATGTGTTTTGTTACTTTTATTTTTTTATGTATTTTTTATTTAGTTATAAGCATATTTCTTTATGTTTATCTTGTAAAAAAAATGTATTTTTATTACAATCAATAAATTAATATATTTCAACAATCATGCAAAGATCATTTATATTATTATCATATTAAAAAAACAACCAAATAGTTCCTAAGATTATCTGCAATTTATAAAACGTGAAAAAATGTCATTGTAATGAAAAAATTGTAATGAAAAAATTGTAATGAAAAATTGTAATGAAAAATTGTAATGAAAAATTGTAATGAAAAAATGTCATTGTAATTCAATCGACTCTTTTTAACAGGAGATTTTAACTTTCCTTATGTAAGTCTTTCCTCGTCTTTTTAACAGGAGATTTTAACTTATGTAAAATGGTTTAATAACAGTTTAATAAGTGTTCTTAGACCAGATAAAAAATTTATCTGGTCCTTAAAATTTCACAAGATAATTTCACAAGATTCATTTATAAATGATTAATTGAGGAAAACTTCACTAACACCTGATTACATCATGTACAATTCATGTTGCTACTCACATAAATAAAGAGGAGTCACATGGTGGTCCCTAGCAAATAAAGAGGAGACACATGGTGATTTTTAGCAAACTCATTAAACATTATAAATTTATAATTTAAAATCTAATGAAAAATAGATAATTTATTAGTATGGTTTATAATTTTATAACAAATTTGGCAAAATATCATCAGATCTGAAATGCCTGGAATACACTTTTCACAATTAAAAATGTGAATGAATGCTACGAAATACTATTATTGTAAGTAAAAAATATATTAGTAAAAACAATCCATCCTTCCAGTGTTTGACATGCTTGCTCTTCAATTTGCAAGAAAAAAAGTAAGTTTTTGCAAAAAAATATTGCATGACAATTTGAAAATATTAGTTTAATTAATGATTATAGAAATATCAAACTCAAATGAAAAAAGCATGTAAATCAGCTGTTTGGAATTTTGAAATTCTATTGGCTAATTAATTAAAAAAAAACACTAAATAAAAACATGAAGAATTTATTCGCTACATCAAAGCCAAACATACTGCTAAGCAAACCATAAATTTATTGATAAAGATAATACCTTCAAAGATAGAGAAGGCATTGCTTTAACTCTTTATAGAAATTTTTAATTGGTGTTCATTAAGAGAAATTCTCTAAATTCATCTTATCTTACTCACCTTCCTGTCTTGCAAACTAATTGAGAAACTTATTATAAATAACATGATGAAGTTCTTAATAAAAAATTCTAAATAAATACATTATGGTAGACCAAAAAGGTATTAAAAACCTATCCAGAACAGAATCAGAATTTGGTGTCACATTAGAAACCAACCTGAAATCAAACTCAAAAGCAGTACAAAGCTCACAAAGTAAACAGTATGCTGAGTTTTATTAAAAGACACTTTTGAGCCACCTCTGCAAAATCTACATTAGATAAAACCTTGAATTAGTAGCTGCTGCTTAGAATTCTTATTTGAAAAAATGTTATAAACACATAAAGGTTCAAAAAAAGGTAACAAAGTTATATAGTGAACTTAAGAACTAGTCAGGTAAAGAGAGGGGACCATATCTGAAAATTTAAAGTAGAATCGGTTTTGGAAGCAATTTGTTGGTACCTCTAACCTCTAAGTTTGTATTCCACTAAGAGTAGGTCACAGAAGCTAGAGAAATAGTGAGATGCTGCAACCAACAACATAACTTTTTCAACAACTTAGTAGACCAGCCCTGAAATGCACTACCAGGCAAAGTCAAAAAAGCATGATTAGTAAATGCCTTCAAGAATGCACTAGATACTGATTATTGGTTGTTATAATCCCAAAATGTGGTTCCATGCCAGCTTCTAAATCAAGTAAAAATACCAGTATATGATATTAATGATAAAAGTAATAATGAAATAACAGCAACATAATTATATAACATAATTATATAAAGATAATAATTATTTTTAAACAATAATTACTGGCCTTTTGATGAAAAGAACACAAAAATGCAATTTGTGATGTCATTAAATTATTTTTATTTGCTTTTTGTGTTTATGGACATTAACATTTTTCAATTTATTAAATTACCGCTTTTAAATTACTTTTAATTGTAAATTAACTCAAAATATCTTGAAATAATTATGTTTGTTTATTTTGCTTTTATTTTTTTCTAAATATAAATCTTGACATGTGATATAATTCTATTATTGTTCAACTAATTTGTGTCCTGTTATTATTTCAGACCCCTCAGTTTATTAAAATGGGGTTTGAGAAGGTTATTGGAATGTCACATTTATAAAGCGTTATTTATTTTGTGTTTTCTACTTAATAATTTTGTTTTATACTATTTTTTACAATTTTATTTTATACAAATGTAGTTTTGTACAAAAGTTTTATACAAATGTAATTTGTAGTTTTTAAATTTAATGGGTTGTGGTCTAACCTCTTCTTGTTCTCTATTGTGTGTGGAGACCTTATATTGTCTTCTAGTACGACATGACACTAACCATTATTCCTTTTTTCTTATTGCGTCTCTTATCATAAAAGTTTCTTAAAATAGTTTTATGAATTTTTCTACCTCTACCTTCTGTTCTTTGGATAAGTTTATGTGTTTTTTTGTGTGTCTTTGAATCTTTGGATAAGTTTATGTGTTTTTTTATGTGTCTTTGACAAGTTTATATGTTTATTTTTTTTGTGTGTCTTTCTATTAATAGACAGTCGTATACTCATACATACACCTATCCTAAGATCCTTACACATGTATGCACACCCATACATACGTATACACATGTATATCCACATACACACATGCACACACACACTCACACACACACACACATACACACTTAAAGGCACACACTCATATTCACATAAATATAACAAATATAGGTAATAATTAATTTTTTTTATTGGTTCTTGTTGGAAATGTATTGTTCAAAAGTTAGATAACAAGAAAAAAATGTTGTTTTATAGTTTGTTTTATAGTCTTTTTATAGTTTCTTATAGATAGTAGAAAACTATTGGTAATAAATTTATCAATTCTACCCATAAAAAGGTTGACGTATGAGGACACCATTCTTTTGCCTACCAAATTTCTTGATTGATGGTTAGTTAATGATTATAGATCCCTTCAAATGCATGTGCTGTTCTCAAAGAGGGTCTAAATAATTTATATCATCTAGGAGGCTAGGTGGATAACTGGGAGGTTTTTGGGATAAGAGAAATTTGAGTGTTTGGTAAGGTAGTGTTCTATTGTTTTGATGCCCACATTGTGGGGTATGCTTGTGTATAGGAAAGTGATATCTACTGCTGAGGACTTTTATTTTATAGGTTTTTTATAGGTACTCCGTAGAATAACAGACATCAACATGGATTTTTAAGCCCAATTTTTTTTGCTGTCTTTTTATCTATCAAATATTTGTTTTGCATTTAGTCAGTTAGTTGATCTTGTTAATAGTGCGTTGAGTAGGGTCATGTTTTGTATGTTATGATTCTCCAAGCCCATAACCTTGAGTTTGATAATTTTGAAATATTTTCCAAAATTTAATTGTGCAACATTTTGTAGACAAAAAAGATTATGCAGAAGTTTGTAAAAAAAAAGTTTCCTAATATATAAGAACTCCTCTGCAACTTATGTTTTATGAATATTTTTCTAAATATGATTATTTTGCAATATTTTGTTAGATAATAAACTATGCAAAAGTTTTTTTATGATACTATGATGTCTATGAACTCCTCTATAACTTTTTTTTTAACTTTTAACAAATATTTTATGCAAATGACACAAAGAATATAAATACCATTAAAAAAAATATAAAGACCTTTAAACCATTTTTAAATAATAGTTTTCTCACTTTAAAATTAGATCTATCGTTGTATTTTTGTCTTCACATATTCATGTTAAGTATTGACATATTGGATAAGTATTTTTATATTAGTTATTTTAACAGCATGTCTGTTGTGTTGCAAGGTGACAACATGTTTCATGTGTGTGACCACTGCTAGGATGAAAAAATTTTGTGATGTAAGTATAAATGTATAACAAAATAATATTAACTATGCAACATTAGTTAGCTTATAATATTAACTATGCAACATTAGATAGCTAAAAATATTTTATGAGTTAAGTTCTTGTATTTATGACATTATATGTTGTATTTTATTATTATATTATGTTATCTTATGTTATTATAATATTATTGTAATTTATCTTTATATTATGTTACATTATTTTTTTCATAATTGTATATTATACTATTATATCCATTTTTACGGTACGTTTTTATTACTTTATAATATTTATATTACTAGTTAATTATAATATGGTATAAAAAATCTTGCTTATTAATAATTCTTTTGCTTTTTTTTTTTAGAAAATCAAAGTTTTGATTTAAGGTAAAAAATTTTAATTGTTACTATTTTTTTCTTTTTTTGTCATATTTAAATAATATAACATTTTATAAGATGTTAAACAATTAAATTAATTTTCTCAGATATTTAATTTTTTTTTTTTTGTAGACAAAATACTATTCAATTTCGTTTACCTTTGCTGTTTGACTTAGTTGGCCATCAAACTAAAGTTTTTAAGAAAGCATTACAACTTACTCGATTATCAAAAAGGTTTATACATTTGTTTTTGAATGCATACTTACATAATAATTCCTTTTTTTTACCAAATTTTCTTTGTTAATGATGTGTTTTTCTTTGATAATTTTTGTTTTGCTTCAAGATTTTCACTATCATTAGTGGTGATATTTTTGTTTTGTTTCAAGATTTCCACTATCGTTAGTGATGATATTTTTGCAGATGGTTTACATGCACAATCCTTTGTTTTTACCAGATTTATCACGTGATTTAACTGATGTCTGTCAGACACAACATGTTCATAACATTATCTATCAACATAAAAAGACTGAGGTAAAGTTGTTTAAATTTATTTTAATTTAAAAATATACTAATATAAAATAAGCCTTTATTATTTCAATATCAATAACCCCTTGCCACTTACATCAAATGCTCTAGTATAACTTGCCACTTACATCATATGTAAGTGGCAAGTTATACATCAAATGTCTAGTGAACCTTGACATTTTTAATGACACTGTAAAACCTTGATTTTTTAATGAACCTTGACTTTTTAATGACACTATAAAAAGTTTTCCAAAAAATTCTAAAATTTTTGATTATGACTTGATTATTATATTAATTATGAAAATATTATATTATTAAAATTAATAAAAAATGATACAGATGATATCTCTAAAATATGGGTAGTGAAAGAGAGTGTCTAAATATATTTGGAAACAATATCTATTATATCTATTATATGTTTTAATTTTTCAACATGTTAAATCTATTATATGTTATAATTTTTCAACAACACTCTTCCTTAAGTTGCATTTAATACCGTAGTGATGTAGTGGTAGAGTGCTTGCTTCATAAGCAAGATGTTCCCACTTTGATTCCCAGCACATCCCTTGTGATACCTAGTTTAGAAATTGTAACCACAATAGAAATATAAAAAATAAAAAAAAGGATATATATATATATATATATATATATATATATATATATATATATATATATATATATTTCTATGCACTGTCTATTATTATATATAAAGATTGTATAAAAGTTTAAAAGTATATAATATACACAATCTTTATATATAATAATATACACTGTCTATTATTATATATAAAAATTGTATAAAAGTTTATTATATATAAAGATTGTGTAAAAGTTATATATAAAAGTTTAGGTTGATAAACTTATTCATCGATTGATATTATCAATATCTGAACCTGATGGTTCATTCTCATGGGAAGAAAAATTTCAAAGTGTTTCTGCAATGATTAGACGAATTGCTAGCAATCACCCTTTGTTGTATTTAAGGTGCTTGTTTGTTTAATTTTCAATTATTATTTTAGTAGTAATAGTAGTAGTTGTAGTGGTAGTTCACTTTTTATCATTTGATTTTAGGCAACTTCCTGTTATTTTGTCATTGCTACAAGGAAAGAGTCGTGTATCACCAGCAACATTTCGCATTACACAGAGCTTTCGTTTATTTATGCATGTTTTAAGCTTGTGTGATTTACTTCATTCATATATCTTTATGCAAAATGAGGTAAATGATTTTTATTAACTTTCTTTTTCTTATATTTGTTATATAATGTTTTTGTTTTAACAAATTAATCACGCTTCAAAATAACCTTTATATATACAACCCTTTGAGTTAGCGCTGGCATTTGGCAACATGATAAAATGTCTGATTTTGCCAATTTTTTGCCAATCTTGTTTTTATGTTGTTATGGTGAAGCTTGTTTTTATGTTGTTATGGTGAAGCTTGTTTTTATGTTGTTATGGTGAAGCTTGTTTTTATGTTGTTATGGTGAAGCTTTTATGTAATTTTGTGTCTGATCAAAAATAGTAAAAGAAAGTTTGCAATTTATTTGTAACTTTATTTTTTCTAACTATGAGGGCTGTATGTATGTATTAATATATATATATATATATATATATATATATATATATATATATATATATATATATATATATATATATATATATATATATATATATATATATATATATATATATATATATATATATATATATATATGTATATATATATATATATGTATATATATATATATATATATATATATATATATGTATATATATATATATATATATATATATATATATATGTATATATGTATATATATATATATATATATATATATATATATATATATATACAGTAGCATTCAAACAGGCTAAATACTGAATTTTACTATATATTTCAGCCCTTATTTCACTAAATCAACATATTATATACCAATTAAAAGATTTTCTTGTTTGCTGTTACGTTTTAAACAAATATTGATTATTTAATTAATATACTTTAATTGGTTCATTGATTTATTATTTTTAATGAGCTCAAAAATTTGTGTGCATACTGAAGCTTTTTAAAAAGTTGCTAATTTATTGATATTGTAAACAAATATTTTTTATAAATAATTAAAAACCCTAATTTAAAATTGATTAAAGTCATGATGTATAAAAAAATGTACATGCAAAGAATAAAATGCTTTGTGGATGGAATATGAGAAAAACGATCCAAAACACACAGCCAAATCTGCTCAAGAATTCTTTGAAAATAAAAAAGTTCAAATTTTGAAGTTGATATCCCAATCAACTTGCTTAGTTATTGGATTAGATGCCATCAATTGTTTATTTGTTTTATTTTGAAAAAGTTTTTAATTAAAAATATAAAATTTAAATAGCTTTTTAAATACTAATAAAGATTTTTAGTTCTTTGATCTTGTTTTTTTACAGTATTTTAAATATGTTTTTTAATAAAATTCTTTAACAAATTTTTTTTCATAGTTTTGACAGTTTTTTCAAAGTGTCAAAACAATTTTAAAAAATTATCATTTACAAACTTTTTTACCTCTAATAGCTCATTAAAAAGTAACAAAGAATAATTAAAAAAAAAAAAATTTTTGATTTTTTTTGTCAAATACAACTCATCCGAAGTAAAATATAACTCAACCTAAAAAACAAATTTTACTGTTTAAAAAATAATTGTATATTTGCACAAGCCTTCACAACTGTGATTGCCACCCTGCACTCCACACACAAGAAGTTGGAAGGTATAAAGAGTTACTTTGTTGACCTAGTGTCATGAGTGCGCTGTTGTAGATACTAATTCAAAACATTTGTCAACAAAAGAACATTGTTTATTAAGTAGAAAATTTATTTTGAGCAGGGTCTTCACCAAATATGAAATCTCATGATTGCACTTGCGGAAAATCTAGAGTGCACATAATCATGCTCAAGTACAACATATTACAAATTTAGGAGCATAAAAGAACACACTGGTCTATATTTTATTTCCAATATGACCACACTTTATTTTATTGAATAATTTTTAAAATGGTTTTATATTTTATTTGTTTTAACTTTAGTTATCAAAGATGATAATGGAACTTTTTGTTGATGTTTTTCTACAACTTGTTCAGGTTTGAATTTAAAAAATAATTTTTTTTTTTAGCATGCATAATATATTTATTCCTTTTAATTTAGTTTACTAATATATTTTGCTGAATTTTTAAAATGCAGACAGTAAGAATGGTTAAAATAATTTTTTTTTTTTTTTTTTTGCTGCAACAAATGTCTTTTACATGTAGGTAGTGCCTGGTCAACCCAATACAATCAGTTAATGTATATACTTTTACTATATAATAACCTACAAATAACTTTTTCATTGTATTAGTTATGTTTCCGGTGTAGCTAGAACTCACATTAAATGATAAATATTTTAATACAGTGCTTTCAAAAAGATAGGTGCATTAAGATTTTGTTGCATAACAAAATCTAATGATAATTTGTAATCATATAACTCGATGATCAGTAGTAGTGTAGTGGTAGAGCGCTCTCTTTATAAACAAGAAATTCCAAGTTTGATCCCTTCTATGTCCTAATAGTATTATGCTCAATTTGTTTCTCTGCGCAGCAAACTTGTTCACCAAAGTTTGTGTATCAGAGTTAATATTATACCCATTATAATATTAATAAAGTTAATTTCAGAGTTAAGCTTTATATAAAAAATCAAGCCTGATTATCAAAATTGGCACATAATATCTTTTATGCAAGGGTGGATTTATAGGGGTCAATCCCTCTTCTCCTCTCCTTCCCCCTAAATATTTTGAAAAGAATTTTTTTTTTTTTTTTGTAAATTTATATATTCAACTGCTCGGTGTAGTTAAGGTGATTTTTAATAATTATAGCATCTTTTTGACTACAACATACTTTCATTAATTGATCAGATCTATAAATCAGGAAAAGACAAAAATAAATAGTGATAAATTTTGTGTAACATAAAAAAAAAATGTTTGTAGCAAGAAAACCCAGACTAGAGTTAAAAAAAAACTTACAAAACGCAGCTTAATAAATATATTTAATTATGTTTTATGAATCAAATACGTATATAGTTAACTAAGTAACTAAAATAATTATTATATGATATTGATAAGTTTTAGTTGTAAACTTTTATAAAGAAACCAAGACTTTCTTAAAATATACTTTTTAAAGTGTCATTTTATGAATAAGAATTAAATAATGAAGATAACTTGAACAACAACATACGTAAAATCAAAAAAAGTCCTAATTTAAGTAATGAATCCTAAAATTATATATTAAAGTTCTTAATTATATATTAAAATAGCTCTCACTTGTTTTCAAATAAAATGATTTTATGTTTAGTCAGTTTCATTTATTTTTTATTTTTGAGGTGCTCTGTTACATGAGCTTTCGTTTTTATAACCTTAATAACAACAAGTAAATTTTAAAAAATTTTAAAGACATCTTTTTCAAATATTTTTTCTAAAATGTTTTCCCTTATAAAAAAATAAAAAAGTTAGGGTGAAAAGGTGAGAAGGGCGCTTGTTCCCCCTTGTATCGTTGGTCCTAGAAAATGTTTTTATATATGAGAGTATAAATAGTAAATCGCAAAGCGAAAGACAACAAGCAACCGAAATTCGGTACTTAAATTATATAAATAAACACTGGCTTAGCGACAAGGGACAAATGGAAGGAAATTTAAATATATATTTATATATGTATATATATAATAATATATATATATATATATATATATATATATTTTTTTTTTTTTTTTTTTTTTTTAATTATTCTTAAAATAACGCTTGTTCAAACTTGAATAAAATTTTAAATAAATACGTTGTTTAGGTGATATGGCAATTTTTTATAGTCAATTTTTTCTTAATTATAAGTACTTTCTTGTTTGGAGTTCTAATATTTTTTGTGAAAATTGATAGAAATGTTTTGACAATTGTTTTAAATGTATGTGTTATTATTTAATTATTTTAATTTTTTTATTTTGTAAATATAATCTAGAGACCCCCCCAGCACTCTAAAACTGATATAATTTTTTTCTACTGTGATTTTTGAGCTCAGTATATCAATTTTACTACAAAAATTTTATTTTTCAAATATTATTTAAAATTTTAAAAATCATTAAAATAAAGTATGAGGGCAGCAAGACAATTTTAAAACATTTTAATTTCTTAACAGTCTATATTAGTCCATTGACATCATATATTGAAATAAGAAAAAGAAATATAAAAATTTATTTTTTATGCTTGCTTTTTTTAAAGTGTTTTTCATTCAAATCTTTTTAAAATCTTCTTTATCATTTTTAATGTTATTGTGAAAAGTAGGGTGTCTCAAAAAACATCATATATTGAATTTTAATGTGTGGAATACTGCATTCTGCGTCATTTTGAAAATGAAGACGAACAAAAAAAAAATTAAGTCTCTAGCTCTAGCGGAAGGTTATTTACGTCAATTTCCTTTTTTTTTTATATATAAATTTTGAGATGAAATTGAATGTTATCTTCATATTAAAAAATAGCATTTGTTACTTAATACAAAAGAAAATTGTTGGTGCGTGTCAAACAGGTGAATTTGCGTGCTATGAAGTTTTTTAATTTCATTGTAAAAAAACTAATTGAGTTTAGAGATGAGTTCACTTTTAAATGGGATAAAATGATACATTTAGCATCATTTTTGCGAATTATAGTAAAAATGTCAATGTTTTGACCTTGAAGCAATATTTAAAAAAAATAATTCGGAGATTAGGTTGATCATTTAATTTCAAAAGAAATAAAAATAAATAATAATACAAATATAAACCTATATTTTTAACTACAAAGTATTACTCAACTAAATAATAGTATTAAGATCTTTCTTTGTAGCCTTTTTCGATATCTGCTGCCGGTTTCTCTGGACAACCTAAAAATATAAATATATTAAGTAAATATTATATATTAACTATTCATATTATACTTGCTAATACGTGCCAATTATATTGCGTGTATATAATAAAATACCTGGAGAGTATCCTGAAGCCTATCTTCATTGTGTGTTCTCTCAACAAAATTTTGAATCAACTTGATGTGACGTTCTGCACGGTCATTTACAACTGCAAGTGTTCTTACGCACTTTGAGAAGTATGTAAAAGACTGAGAGGTTTTCTCACTTTCACATGCTTCGATGCCTTTTCCTTTCTAGAGGAGAAGTTCTTTTTCTTTCCAGAGGAGAAGTTCTTTTTCTTTTCAGAGGAGAAGTTTCTTTCCATAGGAGAAGTTCTTTTTCTTTCTAGAGGAGAAGTTCTTTTTCTTTCCAGAGGAGAAATTCTTTTTTGGAAATATCCAACAGCAAAAACAAAAGATAGGAATGTTCATTGATAAAATCATCTAGTTTAGACGTAGGAACAATTTCAATAATAGATTTAGGTTTCTTTTTAATCAGATCTTGCAACACTCGGACATCATAGGAAAGAAGCTTATTTAACATATTGTTCTTAACTTCAACTTTCAGTTCCTTATCAGCAAGAGCAAAAACTACTTGTTGGGGGGACAGGTACCAAGTTTGACGGCTAAGGCTTTGGTAAAGAACCTTTCCCACAACTGCAAATTCTTTAAACTCATCCATTGTTTGCAGCTGAAAAGCAATATTGAATGCCATCAAATCATTCGATGGTGCTTGAGGAACCATTGCACATTTTAGAAAAAAGAAGTCGTGAAAAAATACAATGTAGTTGGTTGCAGCCTTCAGATTACTTAACGTGCTTATATTACCAGATTCAGAATCAACTGGGTAGTACATTTGAGTCATTTGAATCACCAGCAAGTAAATACAGTCTGCCATAAATCTTGCTTCATGATGAGCTCCCGTTTGTTTAAATGAGATGTGTGGTAACTCAGCTCCTAGAAAAAATGCCAGAAGCTCACAAAGATACCTGTAATCTTCTCTCTGGAAAGTACTCTCACGAAGAGCTGTGATACAGAATTCTTTTGTATCCGAAGCAAGTTTGTACAACAAAGAGTTAGGTCTAAAGGCATCTTGAGTCCAGCCAAATTTCACAATTCTTTCTAATTTGTTTACATCTCTATAAATCTGCTGCCATATTTTTTGGAGAGTAACATATAGCTTCTTGTTGGGACCATTGGTTGGACCAAATATTTCCTTCATTACATGAGCCACATGTCTTTCATAGATGTGATGTCTACACATTAGCCAAAGAACCGGTCTACCTCGGGCGTATGAAACAATAATGCTTAAAGCACCCTTTTTTCTCCCAGTGTTACTGGATGTTGTGTCCGAACACAATCCAATAATCTGATTAGACATCTCATAATATTCAAGCATAGCTTGAATGGCAGTAGCTTGATCACTTCTCTTATAACTTTCGATTAAGATGCCCAGAAGGAAGTCTAGCGGACCAAACTCGGGTGAAGATGCGCTTATGGCGATTCTATCCTCACTTTTACATACTCCTTCCTAATTGTATCTTTTCAATATTTTTGTGTCAAAGCGTACCACAATTTTCAAACCCGTTACTTTATCTAAATTTTTGTCCCTGATCATCGGTGCCTCAGACTCCACAATAGTATGGGTCTTCCTGTTTAGAGTTGATCTTGATATAGGGATATTATTAATATCAGAACCACCAGCTTTGTAAAGAGAATTCAAAAGACACATACCTGGTCTGACTCCAATTCTAAATCTGGTCATATTTGGAATCCAGTTGTGAAGAATGTCTCCCAGACTTAATTGAAGGCAAACTTTCAAATCATTCTGAAAACTTTTTTGTTTTTTCTGGACTTTAGCAGGACGTAAATAACTTTCATCGTATTCACTTTGATTCTCACTATCTGTGCTTAAAAAGTCTACTTCCAAATGGTTACTTTCTTTTTTCTTATTTTTTTCTGCATGCCTTTGGATTTTTTCTGATATTTTTAGAAGTTTTTCCTGTGCTCTGTGAACATTTTCACTAAATATTTTATCAACGTTGCCAAATTTAACCATATCCCCTCTCAGACAATGCCTCAAAAATTTTGTGTCTTCACTCTTAGCCTTGTCATCCCTATTTTTATCAATTTTAATTAAATCATAATTGATTCATAAAATCATATTTGATTTTTGAATAGAAAAAAGAGCACTACTCTCTTTCAAAAGTTTGTCAACCTTCTTGTTGGCGTAGCTGCCCTCGGGCAAATCTAGTGTTTTAAGCATTTTTAAAGTGTGATAATCTTTAACTTTCTTGGTAATTCTGGTCTTTATAGTTTGCTCGATCTAAAGAAAGTATTGCTAAATCCAGCTTGTTCCCACAAAGTGACAAGCTTCTTCAGAATACAGGCGTTTGTATTTAACTGCTTGGTTTTCCTTCCGCACCCTCCGTCAGCAAACATGGAGCATCTCAAATAAGTCTTGCCAGAAGCAACTGGGCAGCCAATTTTGACGTTGATCTGTGTGGTACTGAAACATTTTAAAAATTAGTTAGTTATTTACATTAATTACGTTGGTTAATTACTAATTTACCTTGTGTTTTTGTCGAAATTAATCCAGTAGTACCTTCTGAGCATTTCTCCATTTGTGGGAAGTCTATTGGGGGCAAAACTCTGCAAAGGAAACCCAAGCAAATAAAATTGTCTTCGCTTCTTTGTAATCTTCGACATGTTAAGAATATCTGCTTTAAGTGAATAAATTCTGATTCTGATTGAAATCTGATTGCCGCGCTCTTGGTCTAGAGGCATTTTTTAAAATCAACTATTTTTTATTTAAAATAAAATCAGAATAGTTGGATGCACAATGCATTGCACATTATATTGGACGAGTTTTTTATTATTATTATTTTGGTGCCATCATTTAATTAGAAAACTTTGATAACATAATATTGAATTTATTTAAATATAATATTAAATGATCCCACATTTTTATCTAATAATAATTATTATCAATAAAAAAAAGGACTAAATTTTAAAATCAAGTTAATACCTGAGTTTTGGCGAGTAAAGAGTTTTAGTAAGTAAAGAGTTTTGTTTTTGTTGAAAACAACATTTAAAAGTGATTTAATAATAATTTAGCTTGAGTTATTAGATACGCATCATTAATTTCTATTGTTCGCCATTCTTTTGTCGAAACGTGTTTGTTTGAAGAAGAATAAAATTAATTTTATCTCAAAATTTATATATATAAAAAAAAATGAAATTGACCTAAATAAACTTCCGCTAGAGCTAGAGACTTAATTTTTTTTTTTTGTCTTCATTTTCAAAATCACGCAGAATGCAGTATTCCGCACATCAAAATTCAATATACGATACTTTTTTGAGACACCCTAGTGAAAAGTTGTAAAACATTTTATGAAAAAAGAAGGAAAAAAAAAGAATTTGGAAGCTGGGAATAAATAAGCCCCAAAAATTCACTTGAGATGATGAACTTTTGGGGCTTATTTGTTCCCAGTCTCTAATCATTGCAATTGTTTGCAAAGCATCATTATTTGGCATTAGTGTAAACATGCAAATGTTGACACTTGCATGTTTACACTAATGCAAGACAAAGCCCAACGTCTCAATTTTTGGCCTTAAGGCCAGGTCAAGCCCAAGGACTAACAACTCTGTTTTTATCTAAAAATTGTACTTCAAATGTATCAAATGTGTTTTGGTCATTTTATTTGGCCCATAAAATGGAAAAATATTCATACACCTTAATATTGTTTTAGACAAAAACAACAGAGATCACTACAGAATGAAATTCTTCAGGCCTAAAAACAAATTATGGTCTTCTGATAGAAATGTTTTGCAGCTATGTTACTAAGATGTCCAAAATAACTCCGATTAACCTGAGGAGGCCAAGGGGCTCTTGAAGTACTAACGCATGATGTATGTCATCACAGGCTCTTGAAGTACTAATGCATGATGTATGTCATCAAATTTGCTACTTCATCGTATATATATATATATATATATATATATATATATATATATATATATATATATATATATATATATACGATGACTCACCATTGAAAACCATTTTTTGTAAAATTCAAAAATGTTGAAATCTGACATTGCAATGACATCATTTGTTTACGTTTATTATAATTTTTTAAAAGTTTTTTTTTTTTTTTCGGTTTTATTAGTTTGATAATGGCGCTTACTATATGAGCCGAAATATCACTTATAAAGAAAAGAAATAAATAGTACGATGTTTTAATGCTTATTTTTATATATATATATATATATATATATATATACATACATACATACATACATACATACATACATACATACATACATACATACATACATACATACATACATACTTACATACATACATACATACATATATATATATATATATATATATATATATATATATATATATATATATATATATATATATTTTATATATATATATATATATATATATATATATATATATATATATATATATATATATATATATATATATATATATATATATATATATATGTATATGTTTTGAACATAGATATATATATACAATACATGTATGTATATATTTATATATATATATATATATATATATATATATATATATATATATATATATATATATATATATATATATATATGTATATGTTTTGAACATAGATATATATATACAATACATGTATGTACATATTTATATATATATATATATATATATATATATATATATATATATATATATATATATATATATAACTTTATTAAACTTTATTAAAATAAAGTTCAACTTTATTTAACATTATTTGTTTATATTAACAATATTAAAGAAATTTAGTAAACAAAATAAATTAAAAAATTTTAAAAATGTCTTGACAGCCTATGACCACACCTACCTGTGCAATCATCACTCCTGGAGACCAAATATGACCATATTTGATTTTACTGATATTATTTACCTATATTTAGACATACAACATATTAAAAAACCATCGGGATATAAAATAATCACCTGAGCAGATGTGACCACTCCTGAAGACTGAATATACCCAGTTTCAAATTCCCTTACTGCAATCGTCTATATTTAAACATACAACATGTTCCATCTTATTGCAAAAACATCAGGGCATCTCAGGACCTCCCTTAACCACTGCTAAAATGACCATTTGAGTAGTCATATCCACTTCTAAGTATTGAATATGCCCAGATTTTAATTCCTCGACAGCAGTTACCTATACTTAAATATACAACATGCCCATATAATTTAAAAACCATTGAGTAACCCTATAACCACCCTTGACAACCCTTAAAATAAATACTTGTATGGTCATGACCACTCCAAGTTTAAAATGGAGCCCAAAAATGAATTCCTTGGCTCCAAAAACTTCTATAAATATGTATCATATGTCTATATTTAACCCATAAACATCTTTACCATTTATGGGTTAAACATTTACTCAGCATTACTATTTCTTTACTAAGTTCTTTGTAGCTTCAAAGATACATCAAAAGAAAAATGTAATTATTTACTATGTGAATACTGTTTTTGCTTATACTCAGAATGATGTCATCAGTGATGTTTTTTGTCAAATTAGTACACATCTCATCAACCTAATATACATTTTTGTCAATCTAGTATACAATTTTCTCAACCTAGTATATTTTTGTCAACCTAATATTTAATCTCATCAACTTATACATTTTTGTCAACCTAATAAACATTTTTGTTAACCTAGTATACATTTTTGTCAACCTATTATACATTTTTGTTAACCTAGTATATATTTTTGTCAACCTATTATACATTTTTGTCAACCTAGCATACATTTTTGTCAACCTAATATACATTTTTGTCAACCTAGCATACATTTTTGTCAACCTAAAATACATTTTTGTCAACCTAGCATACATTTTTGTCAACCTAATATACATTTTTGTCAACCTAGCATACATTTTTGTCAACCTAATATACATTTATGCTACAGCTTATTTAGGTCAACATTACATGATTGTTACATGAGTATAATCTAACAATTTTCAAGTGTCTATTTAAAAATGATTTTTTTATAAATTTTATTATTTAAAGTTTTTATTTATTTTATAAATCTTTAGTCTCCATGTCTAAATCGAGATCAATGTACAGTTGTGGTAACTAAATTAGTTGAACTTGTGAATGGGTACATATCTTCTGGTAATCCTAATGCTGCTAATATTCTATCGCAGCATGAGTTTGTATTTATGTAAGTCTGTGTATTTGAAATAGTTTTATACTTATAGTTACTTATATTCTCGAACATTATTTTGTTTTTGTTTGTTTTTTTTAACAGTGGTTTGTCTTATTTAGGGACTTAATGTACGCATATCCGACCATGCATGGTCTCACTGCTATATGCACGTTTATAAAAATCAAAGATAGCACTGTTGGTGCTACATTATGTGCTTCATCAGCAACCACTGTAGATAAAAGCCAACTGAGCTCATTAAAAACCAGATTTGTTACTTATAATTCTCATCAAAAAGGTATTTTACATTCATTAGACAATCATTGCATTAAATTTATAATTTTAAGGTGTTTTTCTTTATATATACTTTTAAGAAGTTATATATTACGAATTTATATTAAGAAGATATATTTTTATATGTACATCACTTGTTAAGCTTGTAAAAGATATTGGTGCCATAAAAATAAAGTTTAGCATCAAGTGCAATTTATTTATTAGGATTTAATAATTTAACACAAATTTGGTTATTAACATGAACTTAATATGCATGTTTGAAATGACTTTTTTATTATCTCTAGGTTTTTTTTTATATAAAATGAATTTTATAAAACCAATAATGATTGACCGATTGTGTTGTCCAAAAAATAGTCTAAGTATCAGTAGTGAGTTCTTTTCTATTTTAACCAATAATAAATGACCGATCGTGTCCACCAAAAAATAGTCTAAGTATCAGGAGTGAGTTCTTTTCTATTTTAACCATAACGTGTCAGTCTCTTCTCTTTCTGTTTTCCCAGGCAGATTTTTTGAAATATATATTCTCATTGCATGGTTTTTTTTACATAAACAAGTGATAACTTAGTATTAAATGGATTCCTATGGATGCTTGGGTTATCGGATTATTTTAAAATTTAGAATATTTATCTAAGTTTGGTATATAATGTATGTAAATATAGAAGAATTTAAATATGCATTTCCACGCATTTTGTTGTGCATTGAGATTTCAAATTAAATTTATGAAGTTTCCATTAAAATTTAGATTTATTAACACAGTAAATTTAATATTAACATTCTTGAAGCTCTTTTGATTTTTCAGTTAATATCTAATAAATATTTTATTAGTGTTACAATAATTAATAGTGTTAATAAGTTTATAAATGTTAATTAATAAGTGTTAAGAAATGTTCAAAAAATTCAATAAAAGTTAAAAGTTTAATAATAAAAGTTTAATAAATGCTAAAAAAAGTGTTATTATTATTAATAAGTTAATAAGCGTAATTAATAGTGTTAATAAGTTAATAAATGTTAATAACTACAGTGTAATAATTTTTTTTTATTAGTTGTTTTCCTTGTTTGGACTGATTCTCAATTCTACCTGTTTAAATTAAATAAACATTTTTTTACAACTAAAGTTAAACAACTAAAGTTTAGACAAATAAACATTATTAAAGTTAAACAAAAGTTTCAAAGTATTCAACTTCAATAATTACTTTTTTAAACAACTTTAATTAAAAAATAATGTTTTATAGTTTAAAATTTATTTTAAACTGTAAAACTTTATTTCAACAGCTGTAGAATAGTGTGGTGGTTAAACAACAGTTGTAGTATAGTGTAGTGGTTAAACAACAGTTGTGGTGGTTAAACAACAGTTGTAGTATAGTGTAGTGGTTAAACAACAGCTGTAGTATAGTGTAGTGGTTAAACAACAGTTGTGGTGGTTAAACAACAGTTGTAGTATAGTGTAGTGGTTAAACAACAGCTGTAGTATAGTGTAGTGGTTAAACAACAGTTGTGGTGGTTAAACAACAGTTGTAGTATAGTGTAGTGGTTAAACAACAGCTGTAGTATAGTGTAGTGGTTAAACAACAGCTGTAGTATAGTGTGGTGGTTAAACAACAGCTGTAGTATAGTGTGGTGGTTAAACAACAGTTGTAGTATAGTGTAGTGGTTAAACAACAGTTGTAGTATAGTGTAGTGGTTAAACAACAGCTGTAGTATAGTGTAGTGGTTAAACAACAGCTGTAGTATAGTGTAGTGGTTAAACAACAGCTGTAGTATAGTGTAGTGGTTAAACAACAGCTGTAGTATAGTGTAGTGGTTAAACAACAGCTGTAGTATAGTGTAGTGGTTAAACAACAGCTGTAGTATAGTGTAGTGGTTAAATAACAACTGTAGTGGCTTTTCCTTTGATTAAACAGTCTTATTATTGTTCAAGAATATAAATATTATAAATATTTTATAATATATATTATAAATATTATAATTATTTTATAATATATATTATAAATGTTATAAATATTTTATAATATATACTATAAATAATTTTTGCAGAACTAACAGGTGTAATTTTTTTTACAGAGCTAATAAATGTAATATTTTTTACAGAGCTAATGGATGTCATTCATGAGTTGGACGAAAGTTCAAAAAGAAGAGTTGACATTTTGGAATACTTTTCAGTGTGTACTTATGATGTCTTCAATATATTTGTTATCTCTTATATCCAGGCATATTTTACAATATTTAAAATAAAATGATTTTTTTCTTTCGTATTAGACTGAATTATCTTTATTAAGTTCATCTTCATCCCAAGAAATACGAAATGAATCTCATTTGCTTTTATTGAGACATTGTGTACATAAACCAAGGTATTTTAATTTTTTTTTTTTTTTAATTTAATTTAATGCACAAATTAAAAGTTTCTAAAATTTATTTATATTTTTAATCTATGTTTACACATAGTACTACACATATTGTTAAAGAAAGATAATAAAAGCAATGGCGACTACAAAAAAATTATGATTACAAAAAAATTAATATGAAAATACTGTGGTTTACTTTGTGCTACCCAAGTAATAAGGCACATTTAGTCTTTTTCATTTTGTTTTAGTTTGTCTTTTTAAGTAGAACATATTTTTATAAGTTGATTTACTGATACAAATCATTACTTTTTGTCATGATATGCAACTTTTTAGATAAATGATTTTTTAATCTTTTTTACATGAGTACTAAAATTCAAATTATCTCTTCAATTTTGGAGCATACGCTAAGTACTCTGTGATTCTTCTCTTGCTTAATACTAGGTTTTTTATTTACTTAGTTGATATCAAGTTGCAGTTAAATACCTTATAAAATAAACAAACTTTGTCCTCAGCAATTAGTCAATTAGTTTTTATTCTTCTTTTCTTTATGGGTAAATTGTTGCATCATTCCAATTGCCCTCTCAGCATGGTCATTTACAAAAATACAACGCAACACAATATTTTTGCAATACAATGCAACAATACTTTTTGCAAAAATTTAATTTGTAATATAAAAATTAAAATTTTCCAATATACATCGATGTTAATTCACAGTCATCAGTTTTTTCAGTAAAGAACTTTAAACATATTAAAATAAAAACTTGTTTATAAAGTGAGAAAAATTGAAATAATAGAAAAATGCAAACAAAATAAACAAAAGTACACTTTATTTAATAGTGACTTGTATATATTGTATAAGGTAAATTTTTTATTATTATTATTATTAAATGCATGAATGGATTTTTGTGATATTTTTTTTGTTTTGTTTTTATAGTCTTTTTTAATTTAAACAGCAATTCTAAAATATCCAGGTTATGCAATAGTCTAAAAAAAAGTATTGACCATTTAAGGCTTACAATATATATATATATATATATATATATATATATATATATATATATATATATATATATATATATATATATATATATATATATATATACATATATATATATACATATATATATATATACATATATATATATATATATATATATATATATATATATATATATATATATATATATATATATATATATATATATACATATATATATATACATATATATATATATACATATATATATATATATATATATATATATATATATATATATATATATATATATATATATATATATATATATATATATATATATATATATATTGAGATTTACCTTGTATACAAAGCCTTGTTGCTTGGATACTATTTAAGGGATTTTTTGTCATTTGAGCACAAAGTATATCTCAATATTTTTTTGGAATTTCTGCTTCATTTTTGTTGATTTTCATTGATCGAAGTCATTTTTTTTTAATATATATATATATATATATATATATATATATATATATATATATATATATATATATATATATATTTGTTGTGAGCTCATTCATTTGTTTCAGTTTACTCCATAAACTGTTTTTTTTTTAAATTTAGCGCTAATAAATCAGACTGGAAAATGCTTAAAAACTTAAAGAATATATATTTTTTTAGTTGATAGATTACCGGTTCAAACCAAAACTTCAGTTGATGTATATACACTTCTTTTATGTTCTCCCTTTTTAAGTTAATCAATGTATATACACTTGAGTATGATTTCTATAAATAACACAGGGTAAGTGTTAGGAATCAGGATTAAGAGCGTCAATAAATAAATATTTAAAAAAAGCAAAATATCATTATAAGATTATTTTTAGAAAAAAACGAACAAAAAAATATATATAGATAATATTACAAATCTCTTTCATTTAGTCAAGCAGCTAAGTTGATCAATGTTTATTTGGAGTGTTTAGAATCGAATGATCCAGATATTGTTTCATCAGCAAGCATGCATTTACCACAGTTTTTACTTTTCGTTGATGGTAAGTTGTTGTTGTTTTTTTGGAAGTTCTCTGCCTAAATTGTTTAAAATTTTCTGCTGTTATCTTCATTTTGTTGCTTGAACCACCTTTTAACACCTTCAAAACCTTTTGGCTGTCGAATGTAAATAAAGTTTTGTTTTCAATTCCTTGATCATTTAATAAAATTTTTAAAAACAAAACTAAAACTTAAATTTATATTTTGTTTTACTTCTTAAAAAAATAAAAGTAATGATATACGTAAAATAGCTCTAAATAAATGAACAGTGAGAAACTTTTTAAATAAATGAACAATGGGAAACTGAAAAGGAATGAGAAACTTTCAGTTGATCTATTATTTTATTTTGATTTTAATATTTTTCTTTAAATTTCAGATATAATTGTTTTGTTTCTTTTTTGCTTTTTTTTTTATTAATATTAATATTATTTGCTGTTATTACTTGTTTCCAAAAAACCAAAACTGCAACATGTTAAAAAATCTAAACAAAGGTCTAGAGTGATTTATAAAAGTAAGGTTACTTAAAAACCTCAGTTCATTTTTTTTTTTTTTTTTTTGATGACACAATAAAATCTTTTAATTTATGGGGCAAAAATTAAAAGTTTTTTTTAAAACTAAATTTGTAAAAACTTTTTAAAACTAACTTTGTAAAAACAATGTTTTTACAAAGAAGAACAAATGAATATATATACAACTGATCCCACCCCACCTTGTATGTATGAATAATCATAAACCTGAAATATCATATCAAAAAATGATTATTTCCATCATCAACACACCAAACTACAGAATATCAGAGTTCTTAGTTAAAACAATATAACCAGCCTTCAACAAAAATCAGATACAATTAAAAACTTCTTTGACTTTAAAAATTAGGCAGAAACAATATTGACAACAATCAAGTTTGGTTGTCTTTTGATGTTGTGTCAGTTCTGTCAAAAGAAACTTTTAAAACAATTTAAAAGCTACCCTTTTACTTTTAGAACAGTTATCACAAAAACAATTTATCATTAACAAAAACAATTTATCATTAACAAAAACAATTTATCATTAACAAAAACAATTTATCATACAAAAAGTTAATAAAACAAAGTTGAAACCTGAAGCAACTCATAGATATTTGTTTATTCCAACAAAAAAGATTTAATGAAAAAAAAATTAGCAAAATTAGAAATCATATTCAAATATGATTTTTGTATTATATAAAAAAACTTCTTTTTGTGTTATATAATGAATTTTTTTTCTTTTTGTATTATATAAGAAAAATTTTTTGTATTTTGTTAGGCTTTTTTTTTTTTTTTTTTTTTTTTGTGTAACAAAATAGAAAAAATATTACTATGCTACTTTGTCTATATTTTTTTCCAAACATTTTTTTTTATCTTTGTTTGTTTGTTTCACAACTTTTTTAAATGTTTCACAACTTTTTTAAATGTTTCACAACTTTTTTAAATGTTTCACAACTTTTTTAAATGTTTCACAACTTTTTTAAATGTTTCACAACTTTTTTAAATGTTTCGCAACTTTTTTAAATGTTTCACAACTTTTTTAAATGTTTCGCAACTTTTTTAAATGTTTCACAACTTTTTTAAATGTTTCACAACTTTTATACTTCTACTTTATTGCAACTTTAAATGGTTGAAAATTTTAAATTGTCATAAAGAAATATGAACTAAAATTAGTTAGAAAATTTTAAGTTCATTCATTTAGTTACTAGCTACTGCATTTATTACTAGCTACTGCAATTAAAGTTGCAGCATTTTTTTAAATTGTTGTTAAAAAAAACAAAAGACTAACTTAAATTATTTCTTTTAAGCTTAAAAAATTTTATTTATTTTTTATTTTATAAATAAAATGTAAAAACAATTGCCATAAGCAAGTTTAAATAAAGTTTCAATGTAAAAACACTTTTTTTTATTTTTTTAACATATTTACTCCCAATAGGGCAGCAAACAACCACTATTAGAATTGAAAGATACTAGATTTTAGATGATACAAGTGTCAAGCAATAGATCAACCTGCTTGTCAGCTATATTTGGTATGATGTGATAAGTGGAATCATGAGATAAGATTGATAAAAAGTTCTCAGCAAACAATTGCCTTCAAGGGAGGTAATAAAATCTGAACCATACAAGAGGTATTTAAATAACAGACTTGCACTTAATAAAGACACTCTTAATGATTCTCCAGAGGTCTTGGGAGCCTTATTTTTGAGATAAAGTACAAGATTTTGTGACTTAAGAATAGCAGACTTTAGGGTTAGATAATATCTTTTTACAATGGTTTCTAGAAATATTAAACACCGGTTTGTTTTCTGGAGAATAGTTTTGGTGGCAGATATGGAAGTATTGGTTACGATTGGAAATTGCAACAGCACAATGAGAGAAAAACTATGGAGAAGAGCAAAGCTTGGCTTGAAGAAAGTTGCAGAAACTCAGCTTTAAGTTAGTTATAAGAGGTACAATGACAGGGGATTCTGATGATGAAGAAGAATGAGATAATAGTTTATATAGAACAAACCATAATCAGAAGCACCTTAGGGTGTATGTTGAGAAACTATGCACTGACTAGGATCAAGACATAAGTTGAATAGAGAAGGTAAATGATTCGGACTGTCTGAAAAGCGGGTTGGAAAGTTGACTATTTGTGTTAAAGATTTAAAAAGGCAAATAATGTGGGCCTTAACGCCTGCAGAGTCACTGAACTAGAGCCTAGCCATTCAGTGTGATGATTAAATTCACCAACATTAAAGTCACCAACAACAATGATAATGGCCGATGGATAAAGAGAGAAGGCTTGGTCAATTTTATCAGAAATAACATCAAAAAAAGTGCTGTCTTGAGATGAAAGAGAGTGATATAGAACAAATAGAGTGATTTAGAAGGCGATAGAGTGAAATGGTGCTAAACAGATCAGTCTGTGGATTCAAACCTAGTTTCATGACAAATGGGTGGATTCTTATGAATGTAAACATCTAACCCAAGCATGTGACTATTCGAGCCTTTATGAAGATAGCCATCTGCACTAAGATCACAAAATGAGACAGCTGAACTCAAATTAGTCATACAAAGAGCAAGTAGGTCTGGTGAACTTTGTAAGAGGTAAGATTTAACAGAATAAAAATTATTTCGAAGACCACGAATATTAAAGAAAGATAGAATTAGAGAACTTGGTGATGACGATGGTTTTTTGTGTTTTATATTTTTTTAGTAATTTAGTAATTTTTGGGTTTGTTAAAGAATTTTACTCAAAGCACAAATAGTACTCAGTACACTATTTAATAGTCCAACAATTGCCTCACTACTAATAAACCTTAAGTTGTAACAAAAGGCTCAAAATGTGGCCTCAAAAATGCACGTCGAAAGTACAAACAGGGACACCATCCATGTGCAAAATTGCACTGTTAACACTCTGAAACCTAACAGCTGTTGATCTATTTTAGAGCTACCTTAGAGTTTGGGAAACCTGACTTCCAGCTAGCCTCAGAACCTTAAAACTGGGTTTTTGAGCTCTACCCTTATTAGGAGATATTAGAATGAGTTGCCTAGTCATAAAAACAGACACAAGCAAAACCCATGTAATGAGTCAAAAAAATCCAGTATTCAACATCCTAAACTGGAAACATTGTATTATAAATACATCTATACCAGCTTAATAGATGGAGAAATAGTGCAAAGCTGGTCAACAGTTATAATCTTTTTACCCCTAAAACATTTACTTAGAGCAAAATTTAAATAAAGTTTTATTTTAAAAGTGCCTAATTGTTCTGACCAAGTTTAAATAATGTTTCAGCTGTTTTTAGCTTTATACTTACTTTATATGCCTAATTGTGGTTTAAACCTTTGTTAAAAGTTTTATATGATCATATAAGAATTTCAGATTTGAACCTCATTCAATTGAAACTCATTAAAAAAAAAAGTGCTTTTTACAATTATTTTTTTTATTGCATGACCTCTTCATTTGTTTCAACTTTGTACACACTTAAGTGCAGAATAAATAGTTTCTTTTCTTTGTAAAAGCAAGTCTTGAATTATGAATTCTTTTATACACAAAAAAAATTTAAATGAAAATCACTAATGCTACACTGATATAAAATTTGTCATTTTTTACAGATTAGGACTTTGTTTTAACCCTTCAACCGTTAAAAAGTGTTTACAGTTATCAAAGTTTTGTTGTTCCGAAATCCCTTAGATCTTATTGAACTTTTTAGAAGCTCAAAACAAAATCAAAAGTTGTAAAAAATTGCATCTTTTCTTTTGTATTTTAAAATAAAAGTTTCTATTAGCAATAATACAGTAAACTTTTACAGTCTTTTGCAAAATAGAAAACAGTAAATTTACTTGACACCTTATGTTTTAAATCAAATAAAATTATTTATTACAATTTCCAAAATTGGATAAATGGCTACCAAGCCAAAAGGAAATAAGAAAACGGTTAGCTAGCCATTTCATTCTTTTTTTAAAAAGCAAACAGTATTTTACTTAATGCAAAGTTAAATTTTCTACTTAATTTAGCTTTGGCAATTGAAGTTTTTTAGTGTTTTAATTATGCAAGATAAATTATATAATTTTTTTTATATTGATTTCTTTTTTTCTGTCGCTGTTTATATTTTATAAAATAAATGTGTAAAATATTGAATTTTTATATAAACCTGTTATATAATAAAATATAAAAATACTTAAAAGAAATAAAAAATTATTTTAAAATAAAAAAATACCATATGCTGCTGCACTTGTGTTTAAAGTAAATTAACTCCATTGTAAATCACATTTTTCAACTGTGTAAATAATAAAAAATATAAAATGTCATATAAAAAATCACATGGTGTGCATAATACGATACCACAAAAGTTATGCATTTAAAAGTTATGTACGCATGTATGTCTTGTTTTTTATATTAAACTTTTTTATATTACACAATACTTCTTTACATAAGGGAAAGTAAAGTTGATAGTTCTAAAAGCAAATTGATGGTACTGAAACAAATAAAGAATTTTTCCAGTATTGAACCTTGCATATCTTATCATCAAAGTAAATACATATTTTTTTAGAATAGAGGTCTGATATACAATAGAAGGATAAAAGACAAAAATTGACTCAATAACTTCTTGGTCTTGGTTGTTCTGATTTCAAGTCACCAAATAGGTGACCAAAAAACTTGGTGACTAAAATTGGCTATCGAATGGATGCTTGGTATTGTCAAAGTGTATGGTAAAACAGAAGAGAAAAAACAAGTGAGATTTAAAACTCATAAAGTCATAATCAGTAAGATAAAAAACAACAATCAAAACTTTTTAGTCATAAAGTATTAGCACATAGATTAAATTCATTAACTATTAGCACATAGTTTGTAAAATATTTTCTCAGTCTGAAAAAAAAGCCATAGAGGCATTTATTTTAAAAATGTAGATTACTCAACACAAAACTGCATACCCCATATTATGCACCATATATCGCATTTTAAAAATGAGTCATCCATTTTTTAATTAAATATTTTACTATCAAAGTTAGGGTTAGGGTTAGGGTTAACCCTAACCCTGACCCTAACCCTAACCCTGACGGTTGAACTTGTAAAACATCACAAGTATGTTTGCCTTATTTTACTAGTGAATTCAAAAATTATTAAGAACTCTTTGACAATCATAAGATGGTACCTGTTGCATTAATGTTTAGCAAATACTGCAAAATGTTGGCTATAAAAAAAATCAATTTAAATATTGGTATCATTAATTTAAATATTGTATCATTTATTAATAAATATAAGTAAATTAAATATGGTATTATTGCTAATGTAATTAAAAATAAAGTATGAAAATAATTTTAATGTATTATATAATTTATATGTGTTCCACAAAATAAAGGACTCAATGTTTTTAAAAGAATAGAGTAATAATGAATAAGTAGAAAATCACAACATATATATATATATATATATATATATATATATATATATATATATATATATATATATATATATATATATATATATATATATATATATATATATATATATATATATACCATATCATATCATATTTTGGATAGTTTAAACATGTTCAATAAAATAATAAAGTATAGAGTTTAATAAAATGTATTCTTTCAATTTTGTCAAAAAGAATTATTTTCAATTGTTTAAAAACTGTTTTATAATATTTTTTACTAAAATTTTCTAGCAAACTGTGGAAAGTTGCTGAAACGATTATTCGACATCTCCACAAAATACTGTGCTCTAAATGACACCCATTTACTTAAAGCGGTTGCAAACTTAAATATTGACTTTGTTTAACATTTGTTAAGTTTTTATCCAAATAAAGTTGTATTAAATTGTTGTTGATTTAAATAAATATATTTAGGGTCTTATTTATTTTATTTTTTATGTTTTTTATATAATTTAACTTATTTTTCATAAGCTCATAATATTTATTCAACATATTTTTCAGATAATTTATGTTTGCATAATTTGTTGATATCATAATTTAGATGCATAATTTGTTGATATCATAATTTAGATGCATAATTTGTTGATATCATAATAGTTTTTTAAAGCAAAAATTTGTTTTTTAGTTAAAGGGATCCATTGATTTTTAATTTATTGTAGCACATTTATTTTTAATTTATTGTAGCAAATTTATTTGTAATTTTAATGATCCCTAATACTCATTACCTTTTTAACTCCTCTTTTTGTGTTTGTGTGTTGTAATACAGTATTTTAATCTTTTTTTAAATGATTTTTTTATCATTTTTAATGATATTTGTTGATTTTTAATATTATAGTTAGATTAGTAACTGCAACTTGCCAATTGTCAGATCATTTTTATGAAGGAGACCTCTCTCATTAAAATCATTTTAACCAGTGAAACTAACTTTCAATTTGTATTAAGTTTTGAAGTAACTAGGTGCAAAAAAACATCATTATCTGGCCATTGGTTATTTTTAAGAAGCATAATCTGTTTTTTGCTTTAAAAAATGATATTTTCAAAATTTCCAGAATAAAAAGTTTTTTTCAACAGTTTTATATTTTTGAGAGCTTTCTGAGAATTCTGACTTGTCTGCGGAGAGCATCTTGTGGAAACCGATTTGACTCATCTAACTACCGTTTCATTAGTCTTCTTCCTATAATAAGCAAGGATTTTGAGTCTTTAATTAACTAACACTATCTATTGCTCTAAACATTTTTAAAAAGCACTCTTCTTCATTTCCTGTAACTTCTGGGGTTCCTCAAGGTTCTATCTTTGGGGTTTTTTTAATACTTTTTTAAATTTACATTAAGGATTTCCCGGAAATTATCACATCTAAGGTGGCATTGTTCAGTGATAATACTACCATTTTTTCTTGTCTTGATAAGAAGCGAACACTTTCTGATTGCTTGGAGGGAGCATCTGAGCTTGAAAAATATCTCACTTCTGTTACAGCATGGGGTTTTTAGTGGCTGGTTAACTTTAACTAAATTTTTATCAGTTAATTGTATTTGCAATAATCTAGCTCTTCTATATTTATGAAGGGTAATGTACTCAATGAGTCATCTAATTTAATTTTTTTGTTTTTAAAACTCTTAATATAAATATATAATTTTATATAATTGTTAAATTTAAAATTTTTTATCATGTTTTTTAATTTTAATTATATTTATTTTTTAATATTATTATTTTTCAAATATTTTATATACTTTTTAAAACACTATTCATTATTTACTTATTAAATTGACTTGTTTACTTTATTTACTTGATAAATTTCTAAGTTGTAATTACTTATTAAGATGTATTTGTCAAGGTATTTGTGTTCATGTCAATATTTTGAAATAGTTTTAAAATGTCAACATTAATACAAATATCATATTACAATTAAAAATTTTGAGTGCATTATTATGAAATTTATAGAATTATACAACTTTCTGCATGACTATCTCTGTGAACTAAAAGTAGTGAGTGATAATGTTAAAAATGTTCAAATTCTTTTTTGTGTAAAAATATAAAAACACACTGATTTTGGGATATATTATATCATACATCAACTGATATAAGCAGAACATGCAAGGAATTTGCTGCTACATTGACTGATAGTTTAGGTTGAGACAGCGAGAAGTTGACAGACGACTTAATAGATTGCAAATTGTATGAATCAGGTAAGTAGAAAGAATGAAGTGAGTTCTAAAGAACCAATGTTCGAGGGAAAAAACTAGACAATAAAGAGTTTTTTGAGCACCTAGGAACAGTCACGGAAAAAGAATGAGACTTAATTGAATGGCAAGTAACACAAGAATAAATTTTAGTAGATGGCACAAGAGACACCAACTCTTTAAAGCAGTTCCCATTATAATATTTGTAGAAAACAGAAAGAGAAGTAACTTTACAATAATGTGATAATGGTTGGAGGTTGGCTGCAAAAGGTCCAACTATGTTTACAACGAGTTTTTACTAATCTAAAAGATAAAGAGCAACATAGGAAGAAATTTAAGTTTATTATTTATATAATTAAACATATTTTAACTTTTATTTAAATTATATTTTAACTTTTATTTAAAGCTGTTTAAAAATATGCAAATTTTTAATAATATATAAAACATGGCAAATGGTGCAGATACTGATATTTTGTGTGGTTTATGTGAATTCAAGTCATCATCGCTTGCGGTAAGTTTTGTAAACTTTGATTGTGTAATTTATCTTCTTATATGTTTATTATATGTTCATGTTTATGTTCTTATTTTTTAGGTTGTTTATAAAAAGAAAAATAAGGTTTTAAAATATTTCAAAGATATGACAATTGATATTTTCAGGTTTACAAAGAACATATTCTATCTGAACACCATATGAAAAAAATTCCAGAAGAAGCAAAAAATGATGTTATTAAAAACAAAGACCATAAAATTAAAGAACATAAAAATAAAGAATTACATCATTGTTATTTATGCAATGTAACATGTAATGGAGAAGTTTGTTGGAAAGCGCATTTAGAAGGATCAAAGCATAAAAAAGTAAAAATAGAAATATTTGAATGTTGATAACTAATTGTTTTAATTAGAAATCATGACAAAATATATGATATATTACACCATTCAACAGCAATAAAATGATGTAAATAGTTTTAAACTTTTGTTGTTTTTCTAGAAAAGCATGCATCAAATTGGCCATGATTCAGAAAAAGGTATTTCACTAATTGAATAAATTTCAAAAAAATATTTTCTTTTGGCTATTAAATAAGTATTGATAAAAATAAATATTGTTTAAATGTAAAAATTAACAATAACTGTAATAAATAACAATCTTGTAATACATTTAATATTTAACAATAGATATAGTAAGTAACAATAAATGTAATAACTAACTGTAGATGTAATAAATAACAATGAATTGTTATTTATTATAATTTATGATTTTTATCCCTTTCATTGATGTTTATTGTGTTCCTTTCATTGATGTTTATTGTGTTCCTTTTATTGATGTTTATTGTGTTCCTTTCATTGATGTTTATTGTGTTTCTTTCATTGATGTTTTTTGTGTTCCTTTCATTGATGTTTTTTGTGTACCTTTTATTGATGTTTATTATGTTCCTTTCATTGATGTCTATTGTGTTCCTTTCATTGATGTTTATTGTGTTTCTTTCATTGATGTTTTTTGTGTTCCTTTTATTGCAACTTATGCACTGATATTGTTATTTTATAAATATTTTGCAGGTTGATAAATGCTTCTTAACCACCTGTACTTCTTAACCACATGTACTGGTTTATTACCTAGTTTATCATTTATAATATTCATCACTTTTTAAAGATCGAAATTTCCAGAGTATGACTTGAGCCATTTAAAAAAATTGAATTGCTTTTAATTAAACGTTTATATACTAACAAAAACAAATTTTTTAAATTGAAGCAGAGCTCAGTGTTTTTCTTTCATAAAAAAATCTTTTTTTTATTGTTGAAAATGTTGTCAAGAAACAAATCAAACAATAAAAAGTTATGCGCATTCATTTTGAAAATCTTTAAACTGTTTCTAAACTAACGTATAAAGTATATATATATATATATTATATATATATATATATATATATATATATATATATATATATATATATATATATACACATTTATATATTTATATTTATTATTGTCATTTTAAAATCAAGTCAGTTTTTTTGTGGTTTCCAATTTTCAATAGGTTTTGAAATAGTGAAAAAAGTTATAAGTTTTAGAAACTTACTGAATCTGTATATACTGAATCTACTGAATACTAAAAATTATTTCTCAGGGTTGTTTTTGCAAATTTTCTTTCAAGTTTCATTGGATGACCTCTTAGACTTTAGCTTGTAAGGTGAAAAGTATGAAATTAGCCAGGTAAATAAAAGTTGATAAAAATCCATTCTTGTTAGATATAGGTGAAAATAGTGAGTCCCACTACACCAATGCTAACAATAGGTACCACTACACTGCTGCTGCACTGTGGGTACCACTGCATTTATTTTTAAACTTTTTTCCTTCATGAGTAATACGCATTTTCTATTTGTTGTAAAACACTTCAATATGTCAGATTTTCAAATTTGTTGTGAAATTTTTAATTTTGTTTCATTTATTTACTAATGTGCAGTGCTAAAGTGTTCAATTTGTATGCAAAAAGTATTCATATCTTACCACATCCCTGGTGTTATTATGGTCCCATGCTCAACTTTATTGAAGTTAATTAAACATTAATTGAAATTGTCCATTTGGCTTTGAAGGCATAAATATAGTAATATATATTATGTAAATAATATTTGAAGACATGAAGTAATAAAATAATTGTTTTGTAAATTGTTTAGCTGTTGCTATATTTCATTCTTTAGAAAATCTTCAAACAGAGAGAAGTGCACTTATCTATTCAAACCAAAATTTTCGACCTAAATCGCAATATTCTTCTTTTAAGTCTTCTAAAAGGCACCCATATAAAAACGAAAGTCATCATATACCTTCATTAATGGATCAAGAGATACAACCTCCTTCTTTTCTTGCTGGTGATGCTTCTCTATTTAACCAAACAGGAAACATTTCTGATGAGTTAACCACCGATACTCATGGCATGAGGTATACTTCACTCAAAAGGTCACCCCATAAAATAAACAATAAACCATTTCGCAAATCTCAGCGGTGGAATGATATCTCCAATTCTGACTGCTCTCAACCAATACCTTCTAATGCATATGAAATGTCTATTTCTGCGCAAAGAGATATTGGTGATGAAATTAAGGATGAAATGAAAAGAGTACAAAAGCAAGCCCAAGAAACAAGACTTGCTGAGCAAAGAAGAAAAGATTATATGAAATATGAAGAAATAAGGTAAAAATAATTTTTTATTATTTTTTCAAAAAAAAATTTTCTCCTTATGTGTATATAACATGTCTTGCAATACTGCTGCTAGAAAGATTACAAGGTTGTTTCAAGGTTGTTTCAAGGTTTTCATCTCATCATACCTTTAAATAAATTTGGGTTTTTTTTATCAAAGTTTTTATTATCCTAGAAACATTTACATACTAGTAGTGGTTTAATAGAGCTTAATCTGGCCTAACATAGGATCAGTTTAACTATGTTGTATATGGGTGTTTTTCAGGGATGTAAAGTCCTAAAAGAACTCCAAATCACTCTTTGTTTATCATCTTTAAATCACTACTATTTGTTTATTATATTTTGCATCCAGGAGCTCCAAAATGATAAAAGGCTTAAGAGCTACTTTTTTGAAAAAAAAATTTAAAACTCAAAGGGTTCTTTTTTAAAACAGCTCTAAAGGTAAAGGACCAATTGATTTTTCACCTAAAATTCTTGTGTATAATTGTAGCAATTAACTCCAGGCTAAAATAACAATAGGATCCAAATAATAAAATTCTGTGAGTTTTTTTTAGAGTTTTTTTGTTAATGTAATTCATTAGTCTTTTATGTATTTTATATATATATATATATATATATATATATATATATATATATATATATGTATATATATATATATATATATATATATATATATATATATATATATATATATAAGAGAAAGTTATATTTATTTATATATATATATATATTTTTCCAGTTTTACTTTTAACTCTAGGCTAATTAATTGTCAAATTTTATAAATAGTCAATTATTAAAGTTCCTAAATAGGTTTTGTAGTTTTCACTCTTAAGCATACAAAAGTTGTATTATTAACAGGATGCAACATATATCAATTATTTCAAAATCTTCTGACCCCAAATTAAATATATATACATATATATATTTAATATATGAACATCAATGAATACAATTTCTCTCAATACTAATTTTTTTTATTTAATCTAAGAAATTTTCACTAGATTATTGATGCTAGCTTTAATTACAAATTATTAATTAAATTCAATTACAAACAAACAGTAGCGTCACTTTTTAATGGCTTCTTTAAAGTTCACTTTAATTGGGCTTTTTTAATATTACGTAGTTATAAAAAATATGGCGTCCAGAATTTTGTTGGTAGTTTTGATGGTAGTTTTGTAGAAGTTTGATGTATTAACAAATAAAAAGCAACTTTTTATTCGTTATTAACTATTATTCGTTAATATATATATATATATGTATATATATATATATATATATATATATATATATATATATATATATATATATATATATATATATATATATATATATATATATATATATATATATATATTGCTTTTAATATCAAGCACTCTTTTATGACTATGAGTTTTGTTTTATTATTATAATACAAAACAGCCTTAAAAATATGTGTGTGTGTGTGTGTGTGTATGCACATTTATATATATAATATTTATATATATATATATATATATATATATATATATATATATATATATATATATATATATATATATATATATATATATATATATATATATATAAATGTATATATTTAAACAATTTTAAAAATGTATTCTACAAAATAGAGTGCTCAATGTTCTTAAAAGAACAGAGCAATTACTGAATTGGTCCATCCTTAAAACAGCGCTTGCATACAAAATGCATACTATGTCTACAAGAAAAATTTCAAATAGTTACACATGCAAACCAAGAATGTTTGTTAAACATAAAATCAGAATTGATTTCTAAATGCAGGCATGAAAATAAGTTTCTTTTAAAAAACTATAAAAATAAGTGAGCTCAAATAATGTTTACATTAAATCCCCCCTTTTTTAAAAATATTTTTATATTAAAAAAAAAATGCATAAGTAATCATTTCTAAAGAATTCTTTTTATAATAGTGTTAGCAAACTCCACAAAAATGTGAAGATTTACAGTAGTTAAAACATTTGCGACTTTCTGTAATTTAATTTTTTGGTATAAATTTATTTATTTATTTATTTAAAACTTTATTTTCAGCTGATTGTTTACAATAGTTTTATAATCAACAAAAACTAATTAAAATCAACACACTAAACTTTATAAGACAATACAAACAAACATCAGAGTTATGACCTGTTCAGGGAACAGGTCATAAGGCAGGTTGTACTGGATTACATGTTACCAGTACCAAGGGTGATCATAACAATACTGACCTGATAATAAAATAAAAAAATTAAACAACAAATTATTATGGCAACTTTCCATTTTCATTATGAGTTTTTTACATCAAATCTTTTTACTATTTCTTCTCAAAACTTTTTTTTTATGGATCACAAGTTTTTAGTTTCTAGTTTAAACAATTAAAAGTTTGTGTTGGTCATGACATTAAACTGATCTTATATTAGGGTTGGTGAGGTTTTTTGTTGAGGAAGGTAATTTAAAAGTTTTTTTAAATTCTTTCATAATGCAATATTAAAAAAAAAATTAAATAAACTCATTCAGATCACATAAGTGTGAAATAAAAAAAAAACAGGTTAAAAGTTTCAAAAATTGTCTTCATTTACCAAAAAATAAAAACAAATCTCAAAAAGTTATAAGTTTTCCGAGACATTCTAATTTATAAAAAATAATTTTCATAAAAAAATTTCAATTTTAAAACTATTGTTGTCAGAAAATTTAAACATTTTTAAAGTATCATTATTTTATGTTTTTATTTTTAGTTTTTATTAGTTTCTATCAGTTACAAATCTTATTTTATGTTTTTATTTTTAGTTTTTATTAGTTTCTATCAGTTACAAATCTTAATTTTTATGCTACTCTTCTATTTTCAAAATAAAAATTTGCTAAAAAAAATGACAATAATCAGCTATGAATTTATACCAGTGTAAAAATAATTAAATAGAAATATCCATTGAAAGGCATGAATTGTCTGAGTGTATCTATTACCAGATAAGTAAGGTAAACGAATGAGGTCAGTTACATCAAAGGTTAAAAACGTTTTTATTTTTGTATTGATGACTTATTAGTGAAATAAAGAATCTCAATAGTTTTATTTTAAGTGTGAAAAAATTTTTATATATAAATACTTTTTTTGTTTATGTCTAACATACATTTGTCTTATATATATAAATACATGTTTTTATGATTGCATAAGTAGATGAATAAATATTAAAATTTATTTTTCTAGAACTTTTAAAAGAGAGCAAATGGTAATTCTTTTGCATATTTTTGTTTTTTTAAGATTTCATATGTCTTATTATAATTATATATAAGATTTCATAAATCTTATTTATATATATATATATATATATATATATATATATATATATATATATATATATATATATATATTAGGGTGTTTCAAAAAAAGGTCATGTCTGAAAAAAAAAGAGCCCTAACTTATTATCTGCCCAGACCATGATTTAGTACAAAGCCTTTCTTTTTAATTTTTGAAAATCCTAAGGGCCCCTTCAAGTGTTAAAATGGGCATTTTTTAAGGCATTTTGTACCTTTTTTAAACAGTTTTTAGGAAGTGTTAATAATAAATTTTTTTTATATATAATTATGTTTGTAAAGACTTATTTAACTAAATTAAAAATGTCCATAAATAAATATATATATATATATATATATATATATATATATATATATATATATATATATACAAAATATGTCAAAAACGCCCATATATATATATATATATATATA